TTCCCCCTTTTTGGTTACGAAATCTGGTTGGTCATCTTAAAAAGCTCTTCTAGCTACTAATGCAATTATTCTTCCTAGTAGTCCTAGGATTCATTAGAGCATATCTAATGTCTCAGAAGAGTTTGTACGAAAGTAGCAGTGGAAAACTCTTTTTGGCAATAAAGCAGTGGCCATCTACTAAAGTAACCAGTACTTTGCCTTCTCTCTACTGTTATCCAATCCTTTTGGTACTCTTTCCGCTTTCAGAATGACTCCTATTCTATCGTGCATTTATTATTTAATTTAAAGTTATCAGAAACCAAAAGTTGTGATTGTTCTGGATTAATTTTTTATTGGAGTTCACTGAGGACCCATTTCTTGTTAATAAATTGGTTTTTCCTTATGCTTCCACATTTTTCCTTGGTTATTTCCTTTTGATTCAGCATCTTTCTAGATTTTTCTTGATTTTAACCTCTTAGATTAGAACTCAAAGCATAAGTGTTTTCAATTTCCAGACATGATATCCCATACAGGTTGAGTTTAGTTCTGATGATTCAGCTCTTCAAATTGACAGTCACTTATTCTTTGGAGGTTGATTGTGTACCAGTTCTGATATTTTCTTGGGCTGCCAATAAGTACCTGTTTCAGAAAATTCTGGTTCTTTATGTTTGACTGGTTACAGAAATATAATGTAAAGTATGTTTGGGAAGGGCAGTCAGTGTTGTATCAGGGAGTACTCTATAATTTTTTTTAGAAGATAAATATAAAAGTATATCGTATCTATGAGTAGTTAAATATGGCTGCCAGAATCAGGATAACTTGGCATCAGTTGGCCTACCACTTTCTTATATTGGCAGGAAGTGGTGGGTAAGCTGGCAGATTCCTACTGGTCGCCTTTCCATTAGTGGAAAGAAATCTCACCAGGAAGAAATACAATATTAGGAGAAATGAAGATTTATATATTTAGAGAGGTTGATGTGTGGATGTTGGGAAGTATGTGATAATGTTAAAGTAATAAAAGCTAGCACAGCATCCACTTTGTTTAGCTTTTGTGGGTTTATTCCAACGGATGTGCCCAGAAGGGTCTACCAGAGGAATATTTTTGGCCCCAAAGATACACTGTTATTATATTCCTATCAAATTCCTGCTCTTCAATTGGCTACCTTTGATCTGAGTCTCTATAATGGCTCTTGTCCTAAAATTGTTTTTAGTTTAAGTATGGGGAGGGGACCATTTTGTGCTCCTCCTCCAATAGCTGTTGCGCTGCTCCGGCAATACAGGACTTAGTGGTGTTTTAAGTATTTTATATAGCCATGCCTTAACATAGTAGAGTCTTTGTAATCCTACAATAACAGAAGCTTAGTGGGGGATGGCTGTCCACTTGTAGTTCTTAGACTGCATATTTCATAAGATATGCTTCTCTAACATGACAATCAGAATTAAGTTATTGAATGTGTTACCTTAGTGCTCCCAACGGCACATTTTTTGAAGTGAATATATGCCGTTGTGGTGGTGTATTCGATGATTTTGATGTATTAATGTATGAGCTGGTAGAGTATGTGGAGGGGTCTACACCGGTTGAAGTTGAACTCCTCTAGTCAATTGCAGTTTTAAATATTTTAATAGATTATTTAAATATTAGAAATCTCATTGGCTAGTGAATTGATTTGTTTATTTGCTTTGGAAAAAAAGTTCCCCGTATAATACTTGTGCATCAACCAATAGAAATTTGTCATATCAATGCATATAGAATGCATGTATCTTATAATTGGTTGCTTATACATGAAGTTTTCCTTAGTTTAGAGATGAGTAATGCTACACCTATAGCTTTTTCTCATAAACTTTCTCTCACAATCTCGATATGAAAACTCGCAATTAGTCAGTCGTAATTTATTAGGTGGGACCCAGGTGAGATTCATTACTAACTGATTAATTATGATCTTTCACGTCGGGGTTGTGAGAAGAAGTTTATGAGAAGAGGTTGTGGGTGTGGTATTTTCCTTTAGAGATATGGAATTGTTAGAGAGATGATTGAATCGTCAAAATTTTGTGTTGGCTGTTGAGCTGGGGCGTGATTTGCTTATCTAGGGCTTGTTAATGTATGAAACTCCTCATATACACAATTTTTCTTATGTTTAATTAACTGCATTATTGATAAGGTTTACATTGATAGACATGACCAAGATATTGAGTTGCAGAGTTTTAATTGTGAAGATTTGATCTCTCTTTGTTTCTGATTGCTTTCAATATTATGAGTGCATTATAGTTATGATATTGAGGTTCTAGGATTAATATCCAATATTTGATTAGTGGATTTTTGAGTCAGGGGACAGCTTCTTAGATTTGGATGTCTTTTTCTTTATTAGTATCAATCTCATGGACATGAAGAGATGTTGCCTTTGACAAAGTAAAATTAGACGTGTCGAAGGCACAGGAAAAGTAATATGGCATATCATTTAATTAATGAAACGCAGGGATCCCAATGATAGAGGTACTAAACCATTATGCGGGCATTCTGCACACATGGCCCATTAGTGATTCAAAATCTGCCCAAAACTAAATGGTCAGCCTACAAGGCTACAACAGAGGAAAAAAATTATGAAGTGTAGTTGCTCCAAAATAAAAATATCGTCTTTTCAAAAAATAAAGGCAGATCAAGTAATTATCAATGCGGGTAAAGGCATGTTCTCATCGTGTTGGTCTCAAGCCTTATAATTTCTTATTGTAGAAGGTTTCTACCATTCGTGGTGGATTTTCATGTGTGTTTGGGAATATTTTCAGCCTGGCTATTGGATAGTGCCACGTGAAATTCATGGGCCATCTACTTCCAGTTGCATGGCAGCAGTGCAGCACAGTGTTAAACTTTGCCAGTTTTTTGGGAGAGACAGCCCAAAAGAGAAACATGACATGAAGATTTGAATTTGATGATATAAAACTTGAGATCCTGTACACAATTATGTACACGCTGTAGATGATAAAAATATTGCAATGGATTATAAAGCTAAGCTGAGTATACCCTATTTAAAAGTAAAGAATCTGTTAGTTCTACTTGATTTTCCATTGGCATTCGTGCTTCTGGAGTGACTGTGCTCAACAGTTTGACCAAATTCATAGCCTTGGTTAACTCATTTGAAAAATTGGGGAAATGGTTTGCCCACACGTTATATTTATAATTCATTCTGTATTATGCAATCTGCAACGTTGTTCGACAAATATTTTCCTTGTATAGGATTCATGGGTGATTATCAAGGGTGAGCAAAAATTTTGGGTGGCCCCGGAACTTTAGAATACCTGGTGTTCTTGTTTTGGTTCCGGTTCCTACCTGAAATTGACATTGTGTAGGTAGGTTTCTATTTCCAAATTTAAGAAATCGGTACTGTGCGGTTCTGGTTTCGGTTCCACTACTTCAAGGAGCCAAAATCAACCAGAGAATTGGAATCGGAATCGAGAATAAGGTACCCAGTTTAGAACCGAGTGGTAACCCTGTTATTTTAACAAGTTGGGATTTAGACGTAATTACGAATTTTGGTTTCTTCACTTTCTCAGTTCGTCTTTAGGGTTTTTTTTTGTGGGGGGAGGGGGGGGTATTCTGTCAACTTTTTCTCTCAACTCTTAATCTCTATTGGCGCCACTACCGGCTATTTTCGACGACCAATCATCACCTCTTGGTTATTCATTATTCCAGTCCACCATTTCCCAATTCTGGTTGCATCGTTCAGTTTTTTGTTTGTTCTGTCGCTTCACGACTTCTTCTTCACTTCTGTCTCGCATGCCACACAATTGTGCCTGCGCAGGAAAAGTAGTCTTTCAACTGTTAGGTCTCAGCCGCACCTGTCTTGCCCATTATACGATCACGCCTATATTTTTGCAATCGATCGCACCTCTATCACCATCGCGCGACTACTTGCGCCTCCATAACCATCACATGATTGCTCGCAATCTGCACTTTCACCAAGCCTACCAATAGTAGCCACTAAACCCACCATCGCACGCCATCACTTGCCCCACGACTGTCTCTCCAAACAATTGCGCCATCGCCCACGATCTCTTATCCAAACAGTCATCATCTTCGCCTTCCCACTGTCGAGCACCATCTCACTTTCACTACCACCTCGAGTGATCTGTGGTTGACTGATTGAGTTTGATTTTAATTTTGATTTTGGTTGATTTTTTTAGTCGAGTTGTTTGGTTGTTTGACTGTGAACAGTACAAGACACCTAGAATTGAAACGGAATTGATCCGATACGTTTCGATTTCGGTTTCTAAGATTTAGGAACGATACATTATTGATTTCAGTTTCGATTCCTAAATCTTAGGAATCGATATTGTGAGATTTCGATTATTATTTTGAGATTTGAGGCGGGTACTTGGGGCCACTCACCCTTAGCAATTAAGGAAATTTAGGATAAAGGAAAAGATAACTTTTGTGTGTGTGAATTGGAGTTAATGGCTTTATTCTAAAATCAAAATCATCCCGGAAAGTTGTTGGGTTCGTTATTAAGAAATAATGATTAATTAGCTTTTATTGAGAGTTGATTGTCTCTTTTCTAATTTCTTAATAATTTGTGAGTGAAATGGACCAACTTTTCCCACTATGATTCTTTTTCATTATTGTCTTTTTTCGATTTAAATGAATAAACTCAAGTCATTTTCGAATTATTAATATTTACTAAAAAGTAGAAAAAAAATTCATAGGGCAAGGGAAACAAATTTGCATACGTATGAATCCAGCTGAGTTATAATGATTTTCCAGCCTGCCAGCCATTTTGTTCTTTATCAACTAAATTGTTTCATTGTACTGCTATTGTAGCATTAACCTGAAAAAAGCTTTCATAAATCCCTACTTTATACTACACTTTGATGAATGTACACTGCTTAAAAGCCAGGCAAGTGCGTGGTCCTTATTACTTTCACTTATCAATTAATCATGGTTAGCACATTAACCACACTTTCTTAACTATGATTACTTAAAATCCTATATATATTCATCATTCTGCATTCAATCTTATCCTGACAAACTTCCATCTCTACACAAGTCTTTTAGCTTCTCCATTATCATCTTCCTTAACTCCATTATCCAAAAATGAAGCTTGATTACATGTTAGCAATCGGCTGTTGCCTCTTATTCCTTTGTTTTGTAGACTGTCAAAGAGTTCCGTGGCCTTTTACTCTCATTGTATTTTCACTCTTCTCTCTTTTCTCTTTCTTTCTAAACTTTTGGCTTGTTCCTGGAGGCTTTGCATGGAGAAACCACCATAAAAACTCTCCGCTACTTCGTGGTCCAATCGGTTGGCCTGTCTTGGGCACTTTACCTGAAATGGGTTCACTTGCTCATCGTAAACTAGCCGCCATAGCAGCTTCACTAGGTGCAACTAGACTGATGGCATTCAGTCTAGGTGCAACACGTGTGATCATCAGTAGCCACCCGGATACTGCTAGGGAGATCCTATCAGGGATTTCATTTTCTGATCGTCCGATCAAGGAATCAGCTCGCTCGTTGATGTTTGAGCGTGCCATTGGCTTTGCTCCCTCCGGAAAATACTGGCGTCACCTACGCAGAATTGCCGCCAATCACATGTTTTCCCCAAGGAGAATCTCCGGGTTAGAGGAGCTACGACAACGTTTAGCCAATGAAATGTTGATGAAAGTAAGTGAAGATATGAAGGAGAGAGGAGTTGTGATACTTAGAGGGATAACGCAAAAAGGGTCTTTAAGTAATATTCTAGAAAGTGTGTTTGGGAGATGTGAGTCTTTAGAGAGGGAAGAGTTAGGTTTTATGATTCAAGAAGGGTACGAGTTAATCTCAAAGTTCAACTGGGAGGATTATTTTCCTCTGAGGTTTTTGGACTTCTATGGTGTAAAAAGAAGGTCCCATGTATTGGCGGGTAAGGTTAACACAATTGTGGGAAATATTATTCAAGAAAGAAAAAGAAATCAGGAAAAGTTTAGTGGTGGAAATGACTTCCTTAGTGCATTGCTCTCTTTGCCTAAAGAAGATCAGTTGACTGATACAGATATGGTGGCTATTTTGTGGGTAAGGACTCTCTCTCTTTCTCACATGCACACACAATCAGCTATGTTTTGGTGGGTTCACAGGACGACAGTGTTAAAATAGGTTGAAGTTTGAAGATGTGATGGCTTCAAATATTAAATAATAAAATCTGAATTTAGTACCTCAGTTGCCTAAAAAAAACATATTTTTGCCAAATATCAATCAACGGTCAGTAAGTAGCTAGCGAAAGCAAAAAAAACAACTTTGCCAAATATCTTATTTCATGAGCAGTAAAAGATCATTTTCAGAATCTGTTTCTGAGTTGATATGTTTTTGTTTTTAATTATTATTGTCTAAAGTCGATGGATTCTTTTTAATATTTTCCTGCTTTGCCTAACGTTTTCTTTTCCTGTCGGTTTTGTTTGGCAGAAATACTGTCGTATCACTATACAGATACAGATATCCCCATAAATATATTCTCCAGTTTTCTCCTCTTTCAATAATTAAACACACACCAACCTTAATTGGTTGACTTCAGAGTCAATTCCCGTTGACAAAGTCGCTTAAAAGTTCTCTACATTCACGCTAATTTCTCCCCCACAATATTTATAGCTGATATTAAGGTTGACGTATAAAAAGTTTTTTAATTGAATTCCAAGTCTTTCATAGATTGACCTTCGCACTATTTTTTTGTCCAACAAACATATTATTACAACTGCCTTTTATGATCTTTAGTATTCTTTACATAGTTTTTTTTTTTTTATTATTTTTATTTAGGAGATGATTTTTCGAGGGACCGACACTGTGGCTATACTACTTGAATGGATCATGGCCAGGATCGTTTTACATCAAGACGTCCAAACAAAAGTTCAACATGAGATCGACATGTGCGTCGGTCACCAAAGGCAGGTACGGGATTTTGACATCCCCAACCTCCCTTACCTTCAGGCCATTGTCAAAGAAGTTCTCCGTTTACATCCTCCAGGTCCATTACTCTCATGGGCCCGTCTGGCCATTCATGATGTCCACGTGGACAAAGTTTTTGTGCCAGCTGGCACAACCGCAATGGTCAACATGTGGGCCATAACCCATGACCCATCTATCTGGAAAGACCCATATGACTTCAAGCCCGAACGGTTCATGGAAAACGACAACATGTCCATAATGGGCTCGGATCTAAGGCTTGCCCCATTTGGGTCGGGTCGCAGGGTTTGTCCTGGTAAGGCATTAGGCTTAGCCACCGTGCAGTTGTGGCTTGCCCGCCTCCTCCATCATTTCAAGTGGCTTCCAGCGCAGCCCGTCGATCTTTCGGAGACCTTGAGGCTCTCTCTTGAGATGAAGAAACCGCTCGCATGCCGTGCTGTTCCCCGGTGAAGCTATAGCAAATTAAGTGTAAATTGTGCATGCATGCATGAGTTGCTCTAAAATGGTTTGGTTTTTCATCTATGTAACAACTGTGGTTAGGAAGGGACTAAACCTAATCCCCTTAAGCTGAAAATTACTATGAGCGTTCCTAAACGCTGTAAAGTATTGGCTTTAAATACTGAAACTGAGTTGCTTGAGTTTGAAGAAGTGTATTTTAAAAGGTATGTACCATGTACGTGATAATTATAAGCAATAAACTTAATATGAAGAGTATTTTACGAAGTTGGAGCATCTTTACAGCTATGTCATATCACTTTCAGTAACATTCAGATATCTTTTAGAATTGACGGATGCTCCAACGATAGTGTTGTACTCGTGTAACTTTGTCGATGAAGGGGATGATATCGAAATCGTTTTCCAAATGATAGACAAGGTGGGGCAGCAAAGGGTCTTAAAAATTAATACGAGCTAATGAAATAACAAAGCTAGCGTTGGGGTCTAGAGAAATTGTCTCCATTAATGTCCCATCACTAGCTATTTAACCTAGCTATGTCCGGCTTTGATCCCAGTTGGAACTTGCCCACTTGACTTTACAGCCACAAATCATATGTCCGGCTTTGATCCCAGTTGGAACTTGCCCAAATCAGACGAGTGAAAATAAATTTAAAAGTTTTTAAAAGAAAAATGCAGAGCTGAGAATGGCGCCATCCATATATCATATATAGATTAAGAAGACACACTAAAGAAAAAGAAAAGAAGAAGATAATGGAATATTTTAAAAACATTTTATGTCAAGCAATTGCTGCATACTTCAATCTTAGATGAAGTCTTCATCCTCAACTATAGGGGTGTTCAAAAGCAGTTAACCGAACTGGTTTTTCAGTTCAGGAAAACTCCAGAACTGGTTTGGGGGGTAAATCGGTTTTTCGGTTAACCCGTTTTAAACCGGTTTTCCCCTTTTTTATTAGATAAAACGTTTTTTTTCCTAAATTAAATTGTAAACATAAACTATATATATTCAAATAAAAATAAAACATTCATACATATTAAAAATTAATATTATATATTAATATATATTTTTATTTAATATATATATATAAACCGGTAACCGAACCAAAAATCCAGTTTTTTGAATTTTTTGAACCATAATCGAACCGTTTTTTCGGTTTGGTTCGGTTTTTGCATTTTTTTTTAACACCCCTACTCAACTATATTATTATAATAATTGGTATTGTACCAAAAATACACACTGATGTCAGCACCACCAATTAAAGCTTAACAAGCACTCAAAGACAAAGTGGTATTAGTTGTCAAAACACAAACCGCCTCAAAGATATATTTTATATCAATCCTATCACATTTTAAGATACAGATTAAAGAGTGGTCTCCATCTGTCAAGGCAACTTGCAAAAGCACTCATTACATTGACTTCAAAGGTATAAATGGGTATCTCTCTTTACGGAGAGCTAGACACAAACGAGAGCTTCAACCATTATTGTTTCTCTATAAATAAAAAATTTCTCCATTTTTGTACGCCTTACAGGTAATATCAGAAAAATAGTCAAAGAATAATAAAATAACAATGGATGTAGGATTCACTTTAAGCATCCGAACCACTATAAAATCTCTCTTGTTAATCTATTATTTATGTTTCTGCAAACATATATAATCTCTCCACCATAATCAACTCTCATAATTATTCACGTGTAATTTCTAAGACTAGTTAACACTTTACACGTGCGAGTCGTTGGTGTCAAAATCAAGGATCAACAGTTTGGCATTAAAAGGAGGGCATGATTCACATCAGCTCTCCATGTTTTTCTAGCAAGCCTCAAAATCATCACATTATCATATGTGAAAATCTAGGCAGAATAAAGTATAAATCTGGCAAAGCGATAAACGCAAGAGTCGTAGCCCTTCGAGTTAGCTTTTTGATGGTCCAAGAATCATCAAAATCTGAGGTCTACACTCAAGTTATCGTCAAAATACTGAAGCCTGTTCCACATCAGAGCTCTCAGATCGCATGCATCAGAGCTCTCAGATCATGTGGTTAGATCGCACGCATCAGAGCTCTCAGATCGTGTGGCTAGATCTCTCAGATCTCTCAAATTAGATTGTGCTCTCGAGTGACCAGATCGTGCTTCCGAGCACTCAGATCGCGCTCTCGAGCGGCCAGATTGCACTCCCGAGCACTTAGATCGAGCTCACAAGCTCTTGAGATCGCGCGTTCAAGATCCTTAGATCACGTGTTCAAATCATTTAGATAGCGCTCCCGAGTAGCCAAATCGTGCTTTTGAGCACTCAGATCGCACTCCTAAGCGGTCAGATCATGCTTTTGAGCACTCAGGTTGCGCTCCCGAGCAACTAGATCGTGCTTCCAAGCATCCATATTGCACATTCAAGATCGTTGAGATCATGCATTTAGATCATCCAGATCGTGCATTCAAGATCGTTGAGATCACGAGTTCAAATCATTTAGATCGCGCTTCTGAGTGGCCAGATCGTGCTTCTAAGCACCTAAATCGCGCTTCCAAGTGCCTAGATTGCTTATCTCAAGTTCTCAGATCAAGCTTTATGTTTTCTGATCAAACTCCTTGTGTTCTCAGATCAAGCTTCGCACTTTCTGATCAAACTCTTTGTGATATATGCTTTCTAATAGAATTCCTTATGCTCTCAGATGGCAAATAGCTCTCAAACTCTCAGATCGCAAAGAGCTCTCAAACTCTCAGGTCGCAAAGAGCTCTCAAACTCTCAGGTCGCAAAGAGCTCTCAAACTCTCAGGTCGCAAATAGCTTTTGAGTTCTCAGATCAAAGCTCATTGCGTTTCATATTGAGCTCCTTATGCTCTCTGATCGAGCTCATAACTCACTCATCAGCTTGAGATCGCATGCATCAAATCTTTCAGATCACGCATTTTAGATCACTTAGATCACGTGCATATATCAAGCTCTTTAAGATCTCAGATCGTGATCAACTTTCAGCTTTGAGATTATGAACAGGCTCAGATTGTGTTCTCAGCTCTCAGATCGCGTCTAACTATTGGTGTCAGAAAAAACGCGTTAAAAACTCAAAACAACCTCGAAACATGCCAAAACGATGGATTTTGCCCTAAAAATGGTCCCAACCAAGTTTCCCAGTTGCCACGACGTAAAGCTTGGAACGAGCTTTTTGTGGATATCTTATGGACTCTAAAACTGCTCCTGATCAAAAGTTATGGTTGTTTTAAGCTGGCTTGTCTGTTTAGGACCTCTGAGCCGCACGTTTGGGCTTCTGACGCTCAGTTCTCTATAAGAATTCATCTACTAGACATTTTATGTCAATTATTAGATTGCGCTCATCTTTGGATCGCTCCAAGCGCTCAAATCGCAGTCCTAGCTCTCAGCATCCGATGACGCCAGGCATAATTCGAGCTCTTCAGTTTGAGACTACAGCCTATAGTGCGACAACCATTCAAATCTAAGACATGAGTTTTTTAAGTGCAATTATGCACTCCAAAAACCGGGAGGGGGGGTGGTTATGTTGATAAAAGTTTGAAAATACATATTTTGTTAGTGATTCAATTGGATTATTTATGGAAAAACGTGTTTTTAATGTGAAATTTTAGTTAATTATTTCATAAATACCTTTTATGGGATCACGGGGTGTATTTTGAGTATTTTCAGGTTAAAAATGATATTTGAATAAATAAGAATGATGTCGATGAAATTCGTGACGAGTAGGAACAAACGGTGCTAGAATCGGAGTTGAAACAAGAAAGTTGTGACGTATTGAAGATGAAACATAAAACCTGGAAATTTGTCAAGATGAGCATGCTTTGATGTTTTTATCATAACTTTAGCTGTAGAAATCAGAATTCGATGATTCTTATGGTGTTGGAAATATTATTCAAAGAACTACAAAGTTCATGTTGATGACTTCACCGAATTCTAAATATTCCAAACTTGTGGGACAGAAAGAACGATCGTCGCAGTTACCATTTCCGTTGCCACAGCGATGGACCACGGGCCTGTTTAGGTTATTGTATTTTCCTAGTTCAAATATGAATGGTTTAAAACATTTAATTTTTTGCTAATTAACCTCCAAACCCTAGCACTATAAATAAGGGTCTTTATTTAGTTTTTAGGGAGGTTAGTTAGAGAAGGAGAAAGAGTGGCTACTATTTTGGAGATCATAATTCTTGCAATTTTTGTTCACCAATTAGAGAAGTTTTTTATTTTCTTTCTTGAACTCATGTTTGTCAATATAATGGTTGTTTTTATTACTGCAATTATGAACTAAATTCCTTTTCTAGGGCTAAAGATGTAGTCAAATTTATGAATATGTGTTGACTTTATTGCTGTTAATTTTAATTGAACATTAATGCTAAGTTTTATTATTGTGTGTAATGCTTTCAATTCTTAAGGGCCCGAGAGTTGAATGATTTTATGGGCTGGGTTGAGATCAAGAGATGAAACATGATTAGTCTAAAGTAATAAAACCATAGATTGAGCGAACCTTAGAGATAGATTACCACGATCTGTGAGGCTCTGGTAAATTCCAATTGATCTTAATGATCTTTTAGTTTCTAAATCCACTTTAGAGATATTTTGGGTTGTTGCTTAAAGGTTAATTCGCTAATTGTTTGAGAGAAAGTTAATGAAATATTAGAGAGTTTGGCCTTTAGAATAAGTTTAATTAGGTTAGCAATAATTGTCAATGCATATGATTAAATTGATGTGAAATATGTGACATAGGTTTAGGCTTATTGATCTTTTTACCAAAATATTAATACAATTATGCTTTTGTTTACTTTTTAGTTTGTTTTATTTTTCATTAATTCATTTTTAAAATTCTGTTTCATCAAATAACAATAAAATATACTAGTTTGGTACTTGGTAGGTAGTTCTCTTGGGATTCGATACTTGTTTACTCGAGCTTTACTATTTGGACGATTTTGTACACTTGCAAATAGCCTGTCAGTTATGTTGTGCCAAAAATACACACTAATGTCAGCACCACCAATTAGAGCTTAACAAGCACTAAAAAACAAAGTGGTATTAGCTGTCAAAACCCAAACCGCCTCAAATCCTATCCTATTTTAAGATAAGGATTAAGGAGTGGTTCCCACTTCCCACGTGTTAAAGCAACTGACAAAATTATTCATTACATTTACCTCAAAGGTATAAATGGACACCTCTATTCACGAAAGAGGGGGCTAGGCATATGAAAGCTAGGCACAAATGAGAGCTTTAACCATTATTTTTTCTCTATAAATAAAACATTTCTCTATTTTTGTACGCCTTACAG